TAAAACAGCTGACAGCTTTATGTTTTCTTTGAAAAATGGAGCATAGATCAATCGATCTTAGCCGCGTAAGAAATGCACCAAAAGCAATTTATCGCGGTAACGAATTGCAAGGTCCATGGTTGGTAGTTCTGAGTTTGGAACGCAAGATAGTGAAGGTCAAAAAAATAGTATTACAATCATAATATGTGATAAACAACTCACAAGAAAAAGTATTGGTTTGATGTAGAGATGAGCACGAAGTTTTTCGATTTTGTAAAAATACAGTATATAATATTTATGCCGCTAACATGTATTTTAAATATTTTATGCGCAATTAAAATTTTTTAAAAAGAAAGGATTAAGCACAGTCTTATTATAGTGAAGGCACTACTATTAACAATACGTTTTAAATTTAAATAATGGAAATTATTGTATTATAGTTTTCTTCGAATTTGTGGTCGGTTTTAAGTAATGCCGTCTAAAATCTTGGTAATTAGTTTAATGTAGGTTGTGCTAAGAGTTAATTGAAAATATCAAATCTATTTTGAAGATTTTTAAGCACATATTTCCCGTCATAAATTTATTTCACACAATTTTTTCATACACCTTTTGTACATTCTTTATGTAAAAAAAAAAAGACCCTCGTTTAGTTTTAATTATTTAAAAGAAAAGCGATTTCATTTAAATAATATAAATGAGCTGATAGGCTTTCTCTAGGTAATTTTTAATAATTTTTGAATATTTCTTTTTTTAAAAAAAAAAGCTTATTTTACAATAACGATGCTAGATATACCATCGTGATGACCTGTAAAAGCGATTTTCCTTGATCTTTCCTATCAAACTAGTACCAAAGAATCAAAATTTTGTAAATATCCAAGTTCATTTACTGAAATTCTTGATTTCGTGATTAAAAATCCATCAAATTTAAGCATTAAAGTAATCTTATTCTTTATAAATTAAGTCAGAAAAAACGCACACCTTTTCTATTTCTAACCTAAGATGAAATCATATTCCGTAAAATCATAGAAGTATAAATTTGATATTATCGACATAACAACGCTTTTTATAAAATGTTAGACACGAAAAAGTAAAACCATTTTAAAATGATAAATCATGTTACAAAAATGATTTGAAGACAAAAAATTTTAATGACTATAAAAAATGATAATAAACGATCCAAAGACAAAATAACAAGTAAAAAAAAAAATATTAATAAGACATTTTAAATTTCCCTTGTAATCTCTTTAACTTTCCCGCATCATTAAAATCCGCAACAGCATCAGTAGCATCAATTTCAGTTTTATTAGCGGAATCTCTACTTAAATTATCATCCTGAGAAATTTCATTAATTTCATTGTCTCCGAGCACCAAATTTTGCAGATTCGATTGAATTGTTTCTTCATCATCAATGATAACATGAACATCAATGTTCTCTTTCGAATTTGCGCTTTCAGATATGCATTGATTTTCCGAATCCACTTCCATTTCAGAATTTTGATCAGAGGTTTTAATCGCTTTAAAAGCTTTTGGAGGTTTAAATGAACTGTCCCTATGCTTTTGCCTTTTATACTTCTTTTTATGACCACCACCTTTTGACTTAGAACGAATTTTTTTCCAAATATCGTTATGCTTTTGAATATAATGATTTTTTAAAGTTGTTACCGCTGGAACTTTTTTATATTTATTGGGACATTTTAAACATGATAATGAACCATCATCGTTTTTAGTATACTGTTGCCAAATAGGATGATGATCTTTAGCAGTGGACATGATTTTTGAAAAATGATTTCGTTTTTTTTTTACAAATTGTTTTTTTTTTATATATTTATTCGTGTAACGCAAATCATTTCTCTTTTTGGTGGTCGGCTAAAGCGGAGTGAAGTTTAAGGCTACCCTTTTTGACGCAGTTATGGTTAGTAGAGATGTGCGAATGCATATTTTTTGGCTCTGCATTGCATAATGCAGCATGCAATCATTTGCGTTTTACCAAAATCAAGAAGCAAGTTTCATACCCA